TGGGTGCGTTACATTTAAATTTATAAAAGTTTCCAACGTCTCCATTTCCCTAAGCTGATCACATATACTGGAAATTCAAGACTGAATATTTAATGAATTTTCGTGTTTTTGGCGTTCGCTTCAAATTGAAACTGTGTACACATTGTGCGCTGGGCACTTGTAGACGTAATTCGTCAAGTTCTTCGTAGAGGAAACTGGACTGTATTTTCCGCGAAGCTATTTCAGTTAAAATGATTTATAATTGAACTTCTTGAATCTCTGAGTTTTTTTCTCTACATATTCTCTGGTAGACTAAGGGACTATTCCAGGTACGCCCGGACGGATAGATGAGCTCACGGACTTAACCTTAGAGAATTTGCTAACACTAAGTCTAGCCAGAGCAGTTCTTCGCAGAATCTATCACCGTATCGAAATCGCGACCCACTGAGAAGATCCGGCGAGAAACTCAATCGGCTGTATCTGTAGGTTAGTTAGATTCGTCGGTTACGACGAAGAGTTCGACGAGGATGGTAAACGGCGCTTGAAGCTCCTAAAAGCACCGAAAGTGGATGCAGGGGATTCGACAAGACATTTTACAGGCGACGGCGGCTTTGCGTTGCCCCATCGCCTGGATCGGATATGTAATTAGCGGCGGTCACGATAAGAGGGTTAACTTGTCGCGCCGCTTTGTCGAAGTAGCACTCTAACGCCACCTTAAGATACATAAATATTGGTTCTAAATTTAGATCAACCTGAAGGTCGACATTCCTCACGTACCACAGTGCTCCGACGGCTATCCTGCAGATACGAGATTGGATGACCTGGAGAGAGTTAATATGAGTACGGGCTGCGTGAGCGAACACTACGTTTACATACGTCATGACGGAACGTATTCAAGTTTTGTAGATTCTCACCGTGTTACGTAGGGCCAATTTACTTCACTTAACCATGAGTGTTTCGATCTTATCTATCTATGTAAATAAAATACAATGTATGTTTGTATGTGTGTTCACCTAAAACGCGAAAACCGTTAGTTCAATAGATATGAAACTTTGTATATAGAAGTATATAAAGGGCGACCTGAACACTCCGACGAACATAATTATGGTAGCGCCGGATAGGTGGCGCTGGTGGCAGTGATTTTTCCTTTGAACCAGTGTTCGAATTGATATCAAATTCTGTGTATATATACTTGCCGTAGCATTGGAACACCACTAATATGGTTTTTAGTGAAGCGAAGCGGACGGGGCACAAGCTAGAGTAGATATGTACTTGTTTTTTACCTAGGAACATATTTCCTATAATACGATTTTTTTTTATTGCTTAGATGGGTGGAGGAGCTCACAGCCCGCCTGGTGTTAAGTGGTTACTGAAGCCCTTAGACATCTACAACGTAAATGCGCCACCCACTTTGAGATATAAGTTCTAAGGCCTCAGTATAGTTACAACGGCTGCGTTCGAATCCCGCAGGTGGGTACCAATTTTTCTAATGAAATACGTACTCAACTTTAACCCACAGACACAGCCCACTGAGTTTTCGCCGGATCTTCGCAGTGAGTCGCGTTTCCGATCCGGTGGTAGATTCTGCGAAGCACGGCTCTTCCTAGGGTTCGTGTTAGCAACAACGTCAGGTTTGAGCCCCGCGAGCTCACCTACTATTTCGGTGAATCTAGAATAACCCCTCGAGGTTACTATAATAGGTAGAAAAAAAAATATGAAAAAGTTTTAATAAATAAACGAAAATAAACTTGTTTTTTTTCAAAACTTTTAATAAATATCAATACAATATTTTAACAATAATACATAGAATGAATCTTGTGGTAACCATGATAACGGTCGAATTTCGTTAATTGGACGAACACTAGTACATTAATAGTTAAAATTAAGGGACATAAAAATTGATCCAAAATTTTGAGTAATTTTGAACATATTGCGACTCGTAGGAAGTCGTTCGGTAGAAAAAAAACCAAGCTGAATTTTCAATCTTCTAATATTCAGATCTGGTAATGACAGTGTCCAGCTTGCCACCAACACCTGAAGTGGTGACCAGGATCACTCAGTCAAGAGCAATACCGACAATGAAAGAGAATGACAATGTTTATCATGTTCAGTTTCTGCTATAAGATAATTTTTCTCAGTTACGGCCCTTCATCAGCCCTTCAAATCATTTCATTGACAAAACGCGTCATTGAAAATTGGTGACGATTATTTAATATTGATTTTCTGCATGATTGAGATACAAGTGAAGAAGCCCTATCTATATATACAAAAATGAATTGCTGTTCGTTAGTCTCGCTAAACTCGAGAACGGCTGGACCGATTTGGCTAATTTTGGTCTTGAATTATTTGTGGAAGTCCAGAGAAGGTTTAAAAGGTAGACTTAAGCATGAAAATGTTCGGAATTAAATAAAAATAACAATTTTGTTTTTCCTTTCATGTGTCCCCCATCGGACGGATTCCTTTTGTTTGTTTTAAATTTATTTTATACAAAAGTTTAGGTCTTTAATTATCGATTTAGGCACTACGAAGTCTGCCGGGTCAGCTAGTAGAAGATATAATTGCTGCTTAATGGGTCGAGCATTTGCGTTTGGTATTAATTTCGATACAATATTACCTAGTCAGGTCATAAATTCTGTCACATGTTTAATGTAAAATAATTGAAACAAGTTTATTCATTACGTAACAATCCAAAATGAACTTAACAAAACATAGATTCTTATGACACTAAAGTTTATTCAAAATGACCTCCGTGATTTTGAATACAGGCCTTCAATCTGCGCGGCCAGTCGTCTATCGCAGCACGAACGAGGTCCATGTCAATATCGGCGGCTGCCTTAATCAAGGATGTCTTGAGTGACTCCAAATTGGGATGAGGCTTTGAGCACGCCTTTTCCTCCAAGTGTTGCCATATCTTGTAATCTAACGGATTCAAATCTGGACTGGAGGAGGGCCAGTCTTCGTGCCGGATGAAGTCGATTTCACGCGCCGCCAGCCAGTCTTGTGTGCTCTTCGCTCTATGAGCTGGCGCCGAATCTTGTTGGAATACCCAGTGCCTGTTATTGAACATGGTATGAGAAACAGGTTCCACAAGGTTCGTCAGGACTGTATTTTGATACACAACTGCATTCGTTTTTACACCTTTCTCACAAAAATGTACCTCTGTTAAGCCCCAATAAGAAACTCCCAACCATACCATGAGCGAGGATGGAAAATGACCTCGTTGGACACGCGGAATACGGTTGCTCGCTTCTTCACTACTGTGTGCGTACACCTTATCATTTTGTTTGTTGTAGCTCTCTTCTGCGGTAAAAAATTTTTCATCCGAAAAAAGAATTTCCCGATATTTTTTTCCCGCGTACCGCTTCAACAAAGCGCGGCATCTCTTCAGTCTCAGGTCCATTAGACGAGCATTCAAACGATGTCCTGTTCTTCTTCGATATGCCCGAAGCCCTAAGTCTTCATTTAACACCCTTTTCACCGTGGTTCTGTTTAACCCCATCTGAAGAGCCAACAGTTTCTGCTTACGTTTGGGATTTCTTTGAATTCGTTACTTCACAGCTTTTATCACTGCTGGAGTCCTAACAGACCGAGGGCGACCACTTCTTGACCTGTCATCTACACTAAAGTCTTCATTTTATCGTTTGATGGTACGATAAACGAATCTTTTGGCTATATTCAAATTTTTCAGTATGTTAAAAATTTGAATTGGCGCGTAACCGCAAGGATGCAACGCAATAACTGCAACACGGTCTTCTTTAAGCGTCCACTCCATATTTAAAAATGAGTAAAATTCTAAAAGTATACGTTTTTATTTTCATGAACAATTCGAAATTCGAATTCAATAAACTTTTTTGTGGCCAGCATTCTAAAAGAAAAGTTTTTACTGTGTGACAATACTTATGACCTGACTAGTTATATAGCCTCTCGTAAAACTGCATCCACGATACCATTTGAATTCAACGGCTCATCTCAAGAATTGAAGTTGAGTCTCAGTTACATTGGAAAAACTGAAGTCGTATTCTTTGGAACGGAACACGCAAAAGCTTCGCCTTTGAAAGCTCACGTCACGCCCCAAGGAACTACCACTAGTTACTATAAGTCCAGTAACTTCGCTGCCAAAAATTTGAAGATTCTAGATGATGGGCCAAGCGCTGGGTCAAACGTGGTCAACTATTTATAGGCGGACTAAAGCAATTAGTCACAGTATCGTAAATAATTTATACTTTTGGCTAGTCTCATGTAAGAGGTTCATTATTTTCGTATTATTTTTGTATATTAATTGTAGTGTCAATATTCCCTGTTGGGCGGCTAATATCAGGTGTGTCTTCAGCTTCGCCCGTTTGATCCAATTTAAAATTTCCGATTATATTTTCTTTAATTTTTCAGTTCCAACTACATTTGATAAGATTAGCGTTAGTCATCAATCTGAAACTGAATGGATATCGCAATGAAATTTATCAGTATAATCTATACTCTGGTATTTCCAGCCCAATTATTGGGAAAAGACAAAATTAGGTACATGTTTAGCTTCAAAATTGTAACGGTTTTACGTTATAATCAGATTTTCTCTAGTCAAGAAAATCAATATGTAAGTAACCTTTTAGATTTTGCCATAAAGCTCTTTCATTTATTTGAAAATCCTAAATCGCCAGTAATTTTGTTTTTGCCGACAAACATAATCGGATATTCGTGGAAAAACCTTTCATAATGTGAGGAGCGTGCCGCGCATTGATTTGGGGACTTTAGGCCAGATTTGTCTAAAAGTATAATACAGTATTTAGAATTCTACAATGAAAACACGTGCTAAGCGTACTCAGAAAACTTTTAACGGATTAAATCAGTCTGAAGGTACTGTTATGTAAAAAATTGAACTGTTTATTGGATGGGAGGCATTTTGACCTAATTCATTTTCGTCAATTTCAGGGTTCCACAATGATAACATTAGTGCCGTTGTAATAATACACGCGATCGGCCTCCGCACGCCGACAGGGGCGCGGTGTGACCAGTTCAGTGACTCGTGAGCCGCCGTCGGATGCGGACGTCAGTGAGCGACGCCCCGCTCTCACAAACAGCTCGACGTACGAGCGCAGCCTACAACGTTTCGGAACTCCGTGAGACGTGAATTTGTTTACGAGAACGAAGTAAAAAAACAAACCTTTGACAGTGACAGCAGTTTTGAGAGTGCTTTTTTGGAATTTTTTGACAAAAGATTTTTCGTTATATGCCAGGTTTTTTTTTTTTAGTTTCATGAATATTTTTTTGTGTGGATGTGTTGGAAGGATCAGTGAACCTTTTGGATTGCTTTTTGGACTTGGTAAGTAACAAAACAATCATCGTTATGTTCTATGTATTACTTTATTGACAAAGTAATCTTTTTTGTTACTGAGAAAAAAAAATGTTGACATTGTGATAACATGCGTCAACTAAATAACTCTGTTTTAAAAATTCATAAGTAAGCATTGCATCGTTCATGTCAAAATATTTCAGTAAGGAGTACATATTATTAGCGTACATATTTTGGTAATACACATTTGAATAAATATATGTACGGTTTGATCTTGCGTTAGTTTGTTATTTTCTCAAATAAATTAACTAGTTGTGATACAAACTATGAATTATTGCACATATTGATTTATAGAATAAACAGAATCTAAATTATATTGTTTCGCTGTTTATTGTATAAGCTCCGGTAGTCCGGTATACTTACGTTTTTATTTATTATTAATATTTTTTCTTCATGTAATAAGTAATTTAATTTTAATAACAAAATTATGTATTCCATTTGTATGCTACATGTAATGTATAAAATAATATATAAAAAACATTAAAAATATTTACATTTCTATCAAATTTAAATTGAATAGACTAATTAATTAATAGCAACGTTTTTTCTTAAGTTTTGACCTCGAAATTGCCATCACTTAATTATAGTACTATAAACGTAATTCTCTAGAAAACGAATTTTCCGGCGAAACGTGAAAAGTGCGACAGAATCGCTTCAGTATCGCAGCGACAAAATCCTCTAATGTGCAACACACTTTATTCTTAAGGTCGAACTAAAATAGCAATTAAGGCATACAATCATCGAGCTGGTGTTTAGGCAGTGACCTTGCTCAGTTATCTCTCTGAATTACGCAGACTGCACGAACTATTGCCGAACAATTGGGCAGAAAATCTTAAGGGTTTTTCAATATGAGCATTGTCGTAATAATTATTTAAAAAATACACGATGGATAATCTTTCAAAATCTCTTGTAGTCTTTTCGTTCTTTAAAGGTAGAAAAGACGTAATACGCAAGTAGGACTTCGACAAAGCTAGCCGGTGGCATTTACGTCTAAAGCTGCTTTCAGACTACGCTATACTATAGTGCCATATAAGTCGTATAGTAAGCCAATAATATATAGTACAGTACAGTGTGAACGTGTCCATAACAATATGGTACGCGATATTGTTGTGCTATTTACTAAATGCTATTATATTATAGCGTAATTTGAAAGCAGCTTTAGTGTCAATGGTCAATGATTACTGAACCTCATATGAGACCTTCGTTAAAATCTTTACCGTTCAGAGGCTTTGCCGTTTGGAGGACAGACTGTCGATTGTCAAACGTATGAGATTAATGTCAGGGTTAATGGCATAGTCGGTGTATTTCCTTAATTTTTCTCTAGAATTTTAATACTGCCGGTTTTTGTGAAGCCATACGGTTTGGTATCGTCAATCTCTCACTTTACGTCCCTGTAATCGATTGAGATTTGAAGAGCGGGAAACTCTTCATTTGCAATTTGGGATCGACGTCGCATCTCGATGTGGGTGGCCGCGACGCCGTGAGCCCTAATGGTTACAGAGGTTAGTTGGTTAGGTGTTTTAGCCTTGTCACTTTTAATGGTTACTAATCTTATCTCGTGGTTCAGATTCGATTCTCGGTCGAAGCCACTGCGGAAACATTTCGTCTGAGTTTACTCTCGTCTCCCGCCTGCGTATGTATCGGGCACACGGTACACAGACTACAATTGTGGCTTAATTGAATGTACTAAATATTAATGTTTAATTTTAAATATTGATCATCGAACTGCGTTCTGCGACTTGTTTTACTTAACGTGGTCAAAGTCTGAGGTGTTTTGGACCTGCTCATCGTCTGGTGAGACTTTCACGGACAAACGCGCGGCGTATAAAAGAAACTACAGATTAAGCCTTCAAATAAATAAAAGGCACGATGATTTGTCACGGCAACGCATATGTGCTCACGATACCAGTAAAACTCACGTGTGTTCACGAGCACTCACGAATGCTCACGAGACTAATTTTGTTTTTATTTAGCTTGCCAGTCGCAATCGCTGTTCTGTTGATATTATAAATGCTTAATATAGTCCACAGAAATGACAATGTAAATTCCGATATAGACATTAAAACATATGAGCCCGATGTCTCAATGGTATTCTAAAGCGACTGGACAAAATTGCAAAAGCCAGTTATAAAGTTATGGTGTTCACACTAATTTAAACGCCCAGCGGGATACGATAGAGTTTTACAAGGTCATTAATAAATAGGAATTCCACTGCTATTGAATGTGACCTGACAAATCACTTGTCCACCGCGATAGGCAATGCGCCTCACCGAGTCAATGTGGAGGACTTCTTCCACCGCATCAGACTTCCCAACCAGCTCAGGGATCTTCGAAGAGTTAGGAACATGTCAATCCGAGCTTACGCTTGCTGTCTCACTGAATCAAACCGGATCCGGACGCGTCGTCTACATCGGGATGTTAAATATCGCCTAGACGAAGCCCGAAATAAAAGGTGGGAAAGTTACTTAAAAGGACTCGCGCCATCTCACCAAGCATGCTGGCGTCTAACTAAGACCCGTGGACAGATTCCATGTTTACTATACGAACGCCTTTTAGTTAGAGCACAACTAAAAATAAATCGTACCATTAAGGATAACAGTGTAACCGCAGAACGACATTGCAGCCGAAGGTTTCGCAGTCGCGAACTCGAAATATATTAAGTAATTCACCTTTTTAATAATAAGTAACCTCAACGTTACCCACGTTCAAGGGGACAAGTCAGAATGTCATTTTATAAGGCTTGTGCAGAGTACTTAAAACTAGGCAGCGGCTTGGCTCTGCTCCTGGCATTGCTGACATCCATAGGCGATGGTAACCACTGACATGAATAGCTGATGAAGCTAGGCCATATTATTGTCTGCCCACAGAGACAATAAAAAAATTAATGATAAGAGGATCTTTACCTTGTCATAGATACATGTTTGTAAACAAAAGTGTATTTTTGAATGTTCAAATTGATCAACTCTTGTAGTATTCGTGATCACGGAAGTATAAACTGGTGATCCGATTTAAATTTAATTTCATTCTTAGCGATTAAAGTAACAGTTTTATTTCATAAAAATATATTACGGTAAGACTGTTTTTAAAAATGTCCACTTGAGAGAGCTTGGAAAAATACTTAAATATTTGTTTCATGAACAAAAATAGTTCGCTTCGCAAATAGGTAGTCTTAGCTAGATATCACGTGTGGTTTCACACGGAAATTTTTCAATGGTTTCAGTTTTTTTAAACTATATTTTTAAATGTGATGAGTAAGTACTATTCGAACAAAAATTTGAGATAAAACTTGACTGCACGTCAAAATGTAATGCAATATGTTTATCGTAACAAAATAATTAAAATTTGAATGAAAAAAATATAAAATATACTGTTTGTATATTATACATCGGTCACTTGTACAAACGAATTTCGTGCATATTGCCACCATAAGGTCGTATGTGCGTATTTTTTAGTTCACAAACATTCATTTTGTTTTATTCACTAGAAGCCGATATTTTATTGAAAAGATAGATTAATATAAGACTTGATAGACGGAAAAATTGGTTCATGGTCGTTTTTGGCGCTACAGACGCCGGCCGATACTGGCTATCTTAATTTTAACATTTATTGTTCTTGCGGGTCAGCTGTCAACTGTCCAAATACCTATATAATGAAGTCGTCGTGGCCCGAAGGATAAGAAACCCGATGGTGTATCGATATTCGAATCCCGCAGACAGTTTGAATCAATGAACTGTGTACTTTAAAAATGTTTACGAATGACTTCCTTGGCGAAGGAATAACGTCGTGTAATAAATATCAATAGTCTTGGCAGCTAACTCGGGTCGGTACCACCACCCTGCCTATTTCTGCCGCGAAGCAGTAATGCGTCTCGGTCTAAAGGATGAGCTAGCCGTTGTACTGTAAAACTGAGATTCAGAAATCGTGTCTCATGGCGGAATTTACACTGTTGATGTCTATGGGCTCCGTAACCACTTAACGCCAAGTGAGCCGTCCACTACTTAAGCTATGAAAAAAAAAAATTTTTATGTCACATTAAAACAAAATCCTTTTTTATGAGCATAGATGCTGGTTCATTTGTGTCCTGCGCCACAATTAAATAATTTAATTGTAAAACAAATTTAGCCAAAATTAAAAAGTATTCAATGTATCAGTCGATTAATAAAATGTAATAAAATTTAACTTCATTTACATATTTTCTATGCTAATTATTTCCGATATTGGTGTACATGTTAATACATTTTTACGTATTCATGACCGCTGTATGAGTCGTATTTTGGTCGGCTTCCGCGAACCGCACACATAGCTGGAACATTCAATTAAAAGTCTCCTGTATTATTATGATTTTAGCCCACTGAGTTTCTCGCCGGATCTTCTCAGTGGGTCTCGTTTCCGATCCTGTGATAGAAATTCTGCGAAGCACTGCTCTCGGTAGGGACAATGCTAGCAACACTCCGGTTTGAGCCCCGTGAACTCACCTATATGTTAGGGTGAAGCTGAAAATGCCTCTCTAGGCTATCAGCATAGGTAGGAAGAAAAGAAAAAGATTATACCAAAGTTTTGAATACTTTACATTTTCATGGACCTGGACAACTCTTCTTCTTTGTCTCCAGCTTATCCCACTAGGTGGGGTCGGTACAGCGATTCTTTCTCTTCCATTCTCTTCTATCAGCCGTCATCTCAACTCACTCTTCTCTCTCTCATATGGTAATTCACACACTCCATCCATGTCTTCTTCGGTCGACCTCTTCCCCCTCTACCTTGTACTACCATTTTCATACATCTCCTAGTCACATGCATCTCGTCTCTACGCATCACATGTCCACACCACGCTAACCGTCCGCTCTTTAATTTATCAATCACTTTCACACTTCCTCTGAGACCCGGACAACTGAGGTGTTTATTTAATCAAACTTCACTTTTGTGCCAACTACCATTAAAAAATTAAAAAATATATTTGCATTTACTGTTCT